ACACACTGTCTATGAGCAAATATTTGAGGCATGTTCTTATAGAAAAAAATGTGATGTTTCACAGGTTTCAAACCTGTTGTGCTCCAATAGAAACAGATTTGGATTCTGTCACATACAACAACTACTTGGCTAAATACAGCTCTGATCAGCTTGCAAGCTGACCAACCATGAGCATATGTCAAGGTGTGCCTTCATAGAATAAGAATAAAAATGTTATTCATTGGCAGGTTTCAAACATGCACTGTTCAAGAGAAATAGATTTTGACTCTGGTGATCACTTGAGATTTTCATCTTTAGCAGGTTTTGAACCTGCACAGACAGATTTAGATTCTGTATCAACTGCTTGGCTAAGACCATTTAGATTCACTTCCATTAAACCCATTCAGAAGTGAGTACTCAAGGTACATTTATCTGCATTTTTTCAGCTCTTTCAATAGCATGGTCAGTGTTGATTTTTTATCCTACTCTTATTGAAAAGACACAGACTTCCTGCTGGAGCTCTTGACTTCAAGACCTGTTTATCTAACAATTTCCCTGAAAAAATGCTAATGGAAGACCACCACAGTGGGTCCATGAGTGAAAACTGACAATGAAAGGATCACACAGTGTATTTTTGACACAGAGTTCAATATATGACCAAAGTCTTGATGCGAACTTGGAAGGATGAGTACAATGACAATATAATTCTTTCTAAAAGTCTTGACTTGGTTGAAGAAGAAAAAGAGCAGATTACACATCAAACTTGAAAGTTTGATCCTAATAATCTGGGGAATTAGTAAAAATACAAATCTATTAAGGCTGAGATTCTTCATTTTGCTTATTCAAGTGATTGCCAGAGTCAAAATATATTTCTCTTCAACTAAGCAGGTTTGTAATCTGTATAATGATGCATATTTTGCATTAACTCGTGATTCATCATATTCCACCATTTTGGATTTCATAGAATAAAAATGTTGTTATTGGCATGTTTTAAACCTGCACAGTTGAAGAGAAACAGATTTTAAATCTGGTGACAACTTGACCAAGACCAATGAAGATCAATGTCTGAGATGCTGTCTATGGGCAAATATTCAAGACACACATTCTTAGAGGAAAAATGCAACATCCAACAAGTTTCAAACTTGTTGCACTCTGATGAAAACAGATTTTGACTCTGTTATGACAGCCACTTAGCTAAACATGGCTGTGATTAGCTTGCAAGCAAACCAACCATGAGCAGATTTCAAGGTGAGTTTTCATCGAAAATAAATTTTATTACTCAGTGGCAGGTTTTAACCTGCACAGTCCAAGAGAAACAGATTTTGACTCTAATGATCACTTGGCAAATTTATCTTTAGCAGGTTTTGAACCCATGCAGACAGATTTAGATTCTGTCATATCAACTGCTTAGCTAAGACCAGCTAGATGTGCTCCCAATGAACCCATTCAGACGCGACTCATATACTTTGCCTATTGGCTGCACTTCCGCTATAACTGCTATTTGACACTGAGCACCCGAAAGCAGCTCAGTGCAGAATGTTGCACTGTTGTCTAAATACTTCTGCTTTATCTCAGAACTTCCTCAGATCATTAGAATCAAACTGGAAAGTTTGATGTGTAATCTGCTCTTTTTCTTCAATCAAGTCAAGATCTTTGGAGAGAATTAAATTGTTCTTGTACTTATCATTCCGAGTTTGCATCAAGACTTTGGTCATACATTGAACTTTTGTGCCTTGAGGGTTCACTTCTGAATGAGTTCATTGGAAGTACATCTCACTGGTCTTAGCCAAGAAGTAGATCCAACAGAATCTAAATCTGTCTGTGTGGGCTCAAAACCTACCAAATATTAAATAGCCAAGTGATTGCTAGAGTCAAAATCTGTTTCTCTTGGACTGTGCAGGTTTAAAACCTGTCAAGGATAATTTTCATTTTCTATAAAAATGCACCTTGATATATTCTCATGGTTGGTTTGCTTAAAAGCTCATCAGAGTTGTGTTTGGCCAAGTGGTTGTCATAACAGAATCAAGATCTGTTTCCACTGGAACATAACAGGTTTGAAACCTGTTGAATGTCGCATTTTTTTTCTATTAGAACATGCCAAAGCCTCAACATGGACTCATGTGTACTTTCCTGAGAGCACCATCTCACTGGTGGTGTGATTTCATAAAATAAAAATATCATCATTGGCAGGTTTCAAACCTGCGCTGTCCAAGAGAAACAGATTTTGACTCTGATGTTCACTTGCAATTTCATCTTTAGCAGGTTTTGAACATCAGGAAAATGTGCTATGGCTATATAGCACTCTATAGCACTACATGGTACTATATAGGGGCCATAGGGCTATAGCTTGTATAACCAAGTGCCCAATTGTATAGGCTATTTACAGCAATATATAGTGCACTATAGTGTTATACAGTAGTATGGTAACTATATTCTGCTATCATAGATGACCAACATGAATCTCATTTCAAGCCATACCTGACTATATAATGCTCATATCATCATATAGTTTTTTAAATATATATCTATCATGTGCTTTATAGCTATCTATAGGATTTTAAATCATGATACATTCATTAAAATCTTTCAAATTTGAACATAATCAAATGCAATTATGCGACCATGACATCAGAAACTATAGTGTTGGTTTGTAATCTACCATACGCCTCCATAGCCTCAAAATCTAATTCAGAACCAGAATCATCGACCTCATTGCTCATTACAAAGCCACATGCCTCCCTATCATATCATTTATTAGCATAGAAAAATAATGAATATGATGACACTTTTACCCTATCTCAGCCCACAAATCTTGCTTCAGTTTTTCCATATACATGGGTGAACATTTGTGATATTCAGCCAGCTTCAACATATAGTACTGGTGTCTAAAGAAACATAATATTAGATGAAGTTGAATATAACCATGACATCGCACTTACCTTGGTTGAAAGACAGGCTCCTTGAATTCTATGACAACCGGAGATCCAGAGAGCATACCTTTGAAAGTGCATTCAGCCTGGTAAAAAAGGTGTTAGCTATAGCTGAATTTGAAAACAAAAACTGGGTGCCCTTACAGCTGTAGCCAGTAGAGCAAGAAGATTGTCAGGGAGTTTCTGAAACAAATCCTTGTACAGTAGACCTTCTGATCCAGCTCCTTGAAAGAATTGACTTATGAGCAGTTGACGCAAGAGAACAGCACGGAAAGGGAGATTCTTGTTGAAGGTCTTAGTCTAAGTTGTAATTTAGTTTCGTTTCATACACATTAATATAACAACAGTACCTTCAGATCCAATTCTCCACACAGAAAAGGATCCTTTTTGGTGGAAATGAGCCATGTAGCTACCTCTCCTATCTCTTGATCAGTAGTATTTAAAAAAATAAAAGATGTACTTACGCACCAATGTCCTTAGGTTTCATTTGCTGCAATAGAAATGCTACATTCTCTCTTGCCTTTCTAACCAGCTCCCCTCTCAGCTGACTTGCACCAGACCACACCTAAAAAAATGTAAGCATGAATCATATAAAAAAATAAAACACTCACATAAGCCATGGCACGATTTTTCAAAGCGTCATCTTGACTAATGACATCAAACATTAACTTCAAGGGAGAGCCAGGATTCTTGACCGCTTCCTTGATACAGTCCCAAGAAAAGGAATCCTGCACATCCACTGAAGGTCCTGGAAAGGCGGTCTCTAAAGCAATCTTGATACGGAGTAGCTGGTGAGCAAGATCCACTAAAGGACTGCAGCCATCCTTCTTCAAGGAAGCTAAAGTGGTAGGCGGTTTCCTGTCACCTTTGCTGATTCTTCTCCTACATTTACATTCTACGTTATCTTCCTTGGGCTTATCCTTGACCTGAATAAGCTATGTATACAAAGTCAGTGTTGAAGTCTATTAAATAAAAGTTACACACCCCATTGGTTCTCCTTCTAACACCTGTGCTCTCTAGAGATTCGTCTTCTTCCCCAACATCACCACCTTCATCATTACCATCACCATCTGCCTCATTTTTGGCATCCTCATCACTAGAATCTAATATATAATGAGCATATAACATAGTTACATTAAATAAAGAAATGACGCCATACCAAGACTAGCTGTAGATACTTTCTTTTTGGGAGGAACAACCACGGGTAAAATGTCTGCAGGATTGGTGTCATCTATATGGTCCATGTCACTGTCATCTGGAACAACAGATGTTGTTTGCAACCCTATTATGACAATTAGCTGTGTTATAGATGTTGAAGGAACACTTGCCTCTTTTACGCTTTGTCCCTGTGCTGGTAAATGCCGGTTCCAAGTTACTTTCTTCATCCAACAAAGCGTCCACTTTCTTTTGGACATCTAATATATAATATTTTCTTAGTACATTTCCTGTCACATCAAGCTTCAGTATTGCTTACTTTCTTTGTGATTTAACTCAGCTTCCTTTTTCTTCTGTGCTTGAAACTTGAGGAATTCTTCATATTGGTCATCTGAAACCTGCACCTTGGACCCAGATGCTTTCTTTCGCCCTCTGGTCTTGGCTACAGGAGGTGTGGGTGTAAGTGACCTTGCTCCCTTCTCTTTAGGCTTGCTGGACTTGCGAGACATTTGATACAGAAGTAAGATTTGAGCAATGATTAAGGGTGTAAAAGTGAAGGTTGAAAGGATGGAACTGAATTGAAGCTAATTGAAGCTGACTTAAAACTATAATTGGAAGCATCATAACCAATACAGACACTATGCATACCAAACATATAGTATTAGTTATACGTCATATGAAAGAATGCATGGTCTCATTATCTACCCAGCCATTTTGATTTTTAACCCAAGCTGCAAACTCTCTGTCAGTCTAAAAGACAAGAGATGCCCTTGCTCCCTTATAGTCAAGGTTGAAATGGGTGACCTCACTTGACCTAAAGAGCGCAATATCGCCAGAATGCAACTCCAGGACAAGTCCATTCTCTAGTAGGCACAATGCTCCGCCTTGGAAGTGTCCAATAGGTATGACTAGACATAAATGGCGATCCTGGCAATCTCAATGGGCTTTGGTCCTCACATTGATGTTGATGACCAAAGATATGAAGGGCGCGAAAGGCGTAGAGTGATTGCCAGGCAAGACAGACGCAACCTCCATCAGCATCTCAAACTCATCTTGCAGAAAAGTCTCCATCTGCCAATGTCAATGTCAACCTGTGAGCAAGAACAAATCTTTACAACTACATACCAAGTTTTGTACCCACTCAAAGAGCTCTGCATATACGCGTGAGATTGTAGAGTAGATGTGTTGGTGTTCACACAGATCCTTTGATATGTAAGGAATCACCTGCTGGTGGTTAGTGCATATGGCTTCTTTCTCTAGAAGCCACAGTTGAACCTCCTTAGGGGCCTCATTACCCTGGTACATCAATGTTATTTAGCGACCTTACAATGTAGAAATAAAACAGCTTACTGAGGTATAATGCCTATTGTACCAAGACAAGTGCATCACCTGAAAGTGTTTACACCCAGGAGATTGTGCATCTACCTCTTCAAGCAACTCAGGCCTTTCCAATGCAGACAAGAGATTCACCTCGAGTGCAGAACATATGTGGTTCGGTAGCGCCGTTCACACAAATACCATGAGTGAACCATCTTGACAATGCAGGTCCAAGTGATGACTGAGAAGTGTCAGCGTCATCTTGATGATACAAAAAGCAGGAGCATGCTATGCACTTGGGTATAATCTCCATAGGGATTCTTAAGTACGCGTCCTGCGATCTCTTAACTCCCTTGCGATACAAAGTTGCAAGCTGTATAAGCAGGATCGTGAGCTAATTGAATCAGTACTGGCAGCAATGTATACGTACCTTTGCCTGCAAACTGTCAATACTTCTTACCCTCTCACCCGCCTCAGCTCGTGACCTTTCTTCAGCACTCCAGATGTCATTGTCTGCTTTGTTTTTTGGTGTCTTGAAGCTCTTGTTGTCCAATGCAAGTGGATCATACAAGGTCTTGATGACGATATGCTCCATTTTATCTTCTTCAACATCAGAAAGTGGCGGGCTATAAGGGCGACTTGAACCGTAGAATACATTGTAGTTTAAGCTCTGTACCAGAATTCTGTTAGACTTGTCTGGTACAGGCACAATGCATGGCCTCCAAATGCGCCCATTTCTTGGGAGGGGTACAAATGAGCTGAGAAACAACATTGTCCATCAATATACAGCACATCACAGTATTTAAAGATACTTACTTTTGTATGATAGCGTCAAAGAACTGATCAGAGGCTGAGAGGTCTGTGCAGTCAACTGATTTTGAGACAACAAATCTTTGAATTAGCGCAAGAGGGAACATTGAGGCCATGCTGAGGGGGCATGCAAGATGCATGCGTGCAATTGTTGGAACAATATATCCTATGATGAGATTTCTTTGGAGAGAATCTATGTTGAGAATATGTCACGACCGTGTCCCCCAAAGTCGGAAGAACAACTTACTTTTAGGAGGCGATTGAAGGAGGTGGTTAGCTATGTTCAAGTATGTAGTGCCTACCATGGAAGCAATGGAGACCCTGAGGCCTAAACCGGCAATGAGCACTAGCATATCAATGGAACTGCCACTGGCGATAACAATAAATTTGCTGCCAACAGAGTGCCAATCCACAAAGGTTCAATAAGAGATCTTTCTTGCAGAGCTATGGTGCTTGATCTCTTGGTCATATATCGCTTTTAAGTGAAGACCAGTCTTGAGGCATATGCTATCAAAGTAGTTTTTTAAATACATTGGGGCAAAATAAGGATAGAATACATACCTTTGGCACTTGCAGATGAGCGTCATGTAGTTCATCATGACGAGGAAGTTGGCATGAATGTTCTTACTTATGATTCCTCGACATTGGACCACAACAGAAATCAGTGACTCGTGCTCCACGCATGGAGTCTGCACATGATTTGCAATATCCTGCAGCCAGCTTAGGGGACTGTGGATGGTGGAGTTGTAGTGAGCGGATGCAAGTTCTGCGATGATGGTAGCAGCTTCATCACTACATGTGATCTTGGGGTCATCTGGGCGGCGGTGACACCATGAACCTTGCCTGGCATTTGCTTCAGCCACCTCTGCCTCATCCACTTCCCCTACATCACCTTCTGCCACATACACTTCTGCCTCCTCCTCCTCCTCCTCCTCCTCCTCCTCCTCCTCCTCCTCCTCCTCCTCCTCCTCCTCTCCATCTCCATCTTTGAGGCGCAGAGGATCATCACCAGTTGCAGCAGCGTGCCGCCAATGTAACCATAATCTTCAAGCACCATGGTTACAGTTATCACTAGGATTAGGAACAAGTGCAAATTGAGGTGGATCATACCCAGGCTCAGGTGGCTCCCTGGGTGGTCCACAGCATGTGTGTATTGTAGAGTTGCATGCTCGTTTAGTAGGGTGGGATGAATCTGTATAACCAGAGTCCTCATCATGTGCTCTGTGACGGACAGCAGGCAACACAGACAGGACTTCGCCAGCAGTTGTTGAGGACAAAGGATCAACAGACATGTGTGAGGGGGAGAGAGTATCAGACAATGATGGAGTGGGCTCTGGTGTCCATGGCTGGGCCTGCTGATTTGCTACTAGAATGTTTTTCAAGTCACATAAGTAATACAAACATACCCAGGTAATAGATATGCACGATTATTGCCTACAACTGTTACAAGT